CAGGCCAGTGCCAAAGTGGCGTAGCCTTGTGTGAGATGCCTGGACTGGGAGGTCCCTCGGTGTCATTAAAACCCTGTGGCGTTAAGGGTTTGGTAACTCGCCGTGGACTCTCCCCGTGGAATCGGTAGCTGCTGCTACTCTCGCCTCCCCTCTGACCGTGCGCGGGCACCTCTGAGGGTGGGCCCTTGTGCGCCAGGTAATCGGTAGCTGCTGCTACTCTCGCCCCCCCCCTCTGGCCGTGCGCGGGCACCTTTGAGGGTGGGCACTTGCGCGCCAGGTTGACTGGTGAACCCTGTGCTCGGAGCTACTCCACTGGCTGACCACCATGGAGTGCCCTGGGCCGGTCTTGCCTGGATTGTTCTTGCTGTTAAGTCCCCACTGGCTGACCACCATGGGGCATATGCACATCTTTCATCCCCCCTTGGGAGTCTGACTTGCAACATCCTTTCGCCATTGAGTGTTGGTTGTCTTTCCTTGACAACGATTAAGCGATCCGAACCTCGTCTGATGATCTCGGGTTGACTAACCGCTGTCGCATCAGTGGCTACATGATGGTGATTTTGTGAATCTGGCAACGTCGCATTCTGCGAATCCCCCACAAGCTCTGTGCTTCCTTGTGCACCGGGACTTCATTGACGACCTCGAGTACTGAGTCCGTGGGGTATCTAGTAGTTTAGCGCGATTGCTCGCTTTGTTTCTTCGGTGTCTGTTCTTTGGTGGTTTCGTGTTGTGTCTGGCGGGTTGTGTGCGCTGACTCTGTTTCACCCTTTTCGTCGAGCCCAACAAGACCGGCCTACTGTGCTACTGATGTAGTAAAGAGGCGCCAGTCCAAAAAAACAACTGAAAAGTTTTTGTGCGCACTCTGTCTTAACAAGCAGTTTGCTGCGGAATGCCATAAGGGCAGACACCAGGTAAGTCTAAGTAAGCCCGCACCGCGTGGAAAACAAACGTTCAAAACCGGGAAAGTCTGGCTGTGTGCTTGAACTTGCACCTGCTTAACAAGCATGCCTGTTGGATTCTAGACAAGCACCTCCAGCACCATAACGAAGAGGCCTGGTGGTCCTATGGCTGGATACCCACAAAAGTTTAATGGCGAATCATGTGTAATGTGGATCAGCGTGCTCGGTGACTGCTCTAATGCATTCTGCTTTGCAAGATAACCCAGTGAATGGGTTTGAACTGCCGGACCCCCCCCGGCGCCTGCAACATGTGCAAGTTGTGCAACTGCACTTTGGGTTGCAGGCTTATGTCATCTAGGTAAAAGGATGCAGGGCTCCAACTCTAAAAGCTTCCTAGAATTCCTAAAGCCTCTAAACTCTTACTCAGGTTCTTAACCAAAGGTCTTATAAGTTGTTGTGGGGTTGGCAGCTATGGCAACTGCAGCAGCTACGGCAGCTACGGCGGCTACGCTGGCTCCGGTGGCTACAGCAACTGCTATTACTACTGAGTTTCCATGCAGTTTAGGGCTTGCTATGCAGCCGAATTTGAGGTCACAAGAGCAGTCTGCGCCTGTTAGCAAGACTTGCGCCAGTGCATGCTAAAGTGCCCAAAGGCACGTAACACTGCCCTAAATTCCGAATTGCACGCCTTTGGTCGTTATTGAAACTTACACGCGGCATCCTGGGTGGCCTTAAGCCAATCTATCACCTAAGCCCAAAAAGGCTTCGCGTGTAAGGCCACGAAATTCATTGGTGTTTGGTCAAGTTAAGAGCATACTTCGAGGGATGCAATAAGGGTTTAGGGCTTAGGCTCTAAGCTTAAGGGACACAATAATAATTCGGTCCCTGGAAGTATAGGGATCGCTAAGTTTGCACCCAAAGAACTCTGCTCTAGGGCTGTAGGCGGTTGTGGGATAAGGGTGCATCCCTGACCCTAAATCCAAGACCCTAAACCCTGATCACGGTGGTGCAGGGGTTTATGGAAAGATCCTATAACTTAGGCTTCAGAGTTTGGGATGTACTTGGGTTTTTTAGGATTTAGGGGTTCTGGATTCTGAATGATACAGAGAAAGTTTCAGCTTTGGCGGACCAAACTTACGGCCGGTGTTTTTATACGGGACCCGAACCCTTAAAAGAGACAAAAAATAAGGGGGCTGCGGAAGGGAAGGGTGGGTGGGTGGGGGTGGGGGGGAATTCTTGCTTCCAAACCTTCAATCCTCGGCTGCTTCTCTTTGGAAACCAAGCTTTTTGCAATCGCTCTTCAAGGCCCACATACTGGACGTCTTTGTGAACCAAGCAGTGATGCTTATGCAAGTAGTTCTTATGCAAGCAGTTGTGGATGTTATTGGACTTGCTGGTATTTACCACGCCCTTTTATTTTGCATGGCCCATACGATGGTGCTGCCACCAACATGTTACCAGAGCCGACTTCTTCGGTCCAATTTTGGAGGTCGAAGCAGATGCCGTAATACCAGGCGCACACCAGCTAGAATCTTAAGGATCTACAGGTTCCCATTTTGGAGCTAAAAAAGTGGAAGGCGGCTAACGGCAGTACAGCTAAGAACCAGGAATCAGAGACATAAGTTATGAGTTGTAACGCTTTGGCCATCTCGACTGATGATCTAACTCTTACTTTCTGCAAGAGCCGCAAGTCAACAAGGTTGTGCCAAGGATATGCCAGGCGCAGAGCATGGGGCCGAAGCCTCTCCACATCTTGAACATGGGGTCGATGATCCTTAGAGAGTGAAGTGTCACGAGTCCAGGGAGTGAAATGCAGCAAGCCACAGAAAGCTGTTAAGGGTTCGGGTTTAGGGTTTGGGGTTACTTTCGTGCACAGTGGAAAGCAAAGGGAGTCTTAGAAGGACCGCGGGGTTTGCCGGAAACCAAGTATGCCTTCACAATTACGTGGTTTTGTTACGGGAAACACCAGCAACCCAAGCATGCCGGGCCTGTTTTACTGCTGATGTTCAAGCTGCCAAAGCTGCGGTGCAGGCCAAAAAGCAGGTCTCGGGGTTGGGGTTTAGTTTCTAAGAACCCTGTAATGCCGCAAAACCTTAAGCTTGCCAATTCTGTTTTGGGAATGCAATAATTTTTCCAAATTCTTGGGGCGGCGCTTGCGATTTGTATTTTGGAAGCATAAATTCTTTAAAGATATTAAGGGGGCGATACTTACGTTTTTTTTTTGGGGAATAAATGTTCTTCTGTAAAGGACTATCTTCAAAGGGGCAATCGGAGGGGGGAATCGGGGGGCGGGGGGGCGCATCTGGCAATCATAGGGGGGCGATGCTTGAGATTTGTGTTTGGGGAATACATACGCTTCTAAAATCATAGGGGGACGATGCTTCCGATTTGTTTCTTGGGGAGCATAATTTCTTCAAAAAAGCTTAGGAGGCTGGTGCTTACGATTTATCTTTTGGGAATAAAAATTTTTTAAACATCTTGAATAGAGACTTCCGAATTAAAAGAATGATATGAAAAGAGTTTTTTTCTATTATTATTAAGAAAATAGAATTTGTGGAAGAAAGGAAATATAAGAATTCTTTTATGAATTCTTCGAATTCTTTGAATTCATATATATAGAAGATTATGAATTAAATGAAACTTGTCATTCATAACCAGAAATGGAAAACATTTGGATATTTTATATACATTTTATTGATTAGATGGTTTTGAGTAGACTTACTGAGTCATGGGTAGCAGCTGAACGGCCGCAATGTTTTGGAACAACCGTGGAAAGATCTAAAGGGTCTTAAATGAAGGAAGATTGTTCGTTGCAACAAGACGAAATGCAAGAAATTCGAGGGGATCATTGAAGACGAAATGAGCAGAAAAGACCATGGTTTGAGCGCCCCACGAGGCTTTCCAGAACAATGGCAAGCTCAACGCTCGAGGTCAGTCAGGTTTTTTTTTTCGGAAGTTTTACGTTGTTTACCGGAAGCATCTGATCTGCACCCTCTTTCAGTCCATCAGTTCAAGGGCTCCAACAGGGTGGTTCAAGCAAATTGGGGAATATGTGCGTTTTGCCGAACTCATGGGCAAAAACGCACACATCACCCCAATTTGCTTGAACCACCCTGTTGGACCTTGAACGCATGGGCTAAAAGAGGGTGGTTTTTCAAAAAGAGTGCTTCCCTTGAGATGCAGTCCGAAACCAGCAAAAAGCAATGCCTATGGGAATCCAGATTGCAGATCAGATGCTCCCAGTAAATAACGCATAACTCTTCCGAAAAATGAACTAACTGCTCGAGTGTTGAATAGCTTTGCTCGTTGCTGCTCTTAACATTGTTCTGGAAAGCCCCGTGGGGGGAGAGTAACTTGGCTAAAAAAACAAAAAGCCAGCAGGGCACAGAGATGGTGCTTGGCCCGAATAGGTTTCAAGTTTGACGCTTTCAACCCTGGCCCGAAGCCTTCAAGCTTTCGTGAGCAAACCTTTTGGCCGAACCTGTTTGCTCTCCACAAACGTTCAAGGGCCATTCACAGGGTGGTGTAATGGGGCTTCGAGGGCCTCAAAGGTTTGTGGTATGTCCGTCCCGTCGTGCTCGTGCGGAGTGAGGGCCCTATGAGTCTGTCTCATGTCCTCTCCCTTCTTGCTCTCAGGGTTTGTGAGGGCCTTGCAGGTTTGTCGTATATCCCTCCCCTCGTGCTCGTAGGTTTAATTTAGAGGTTCCCAAAGGTTTGTCGTATATCCCTCCGTTGTGCTTTCTTGATATGTGTTTTAGCCAATGCTTCTGAGTTGTGTTTTTTTCAATGATGCTTTTTGGAGCAGACCAGCAATGACATTTTTTCAAGTTGAAGCTGGCATAGGAGGCATGAGCTATCGGACGAAGTCCAAATCTGGCTAGGCCACATGGGCCACATGGGCCACGCATTTTGACCAGGCGCGGGCAGCTTTTGCTTGGCTCAACAAGCTGCTACAGAACGGAATCTCAGCCTAGATATGTCGAGGAGAGCTGATGCAAAGCAATAGTTACGATAGTGAGAAGGATTTTGTGTTGCAAGCTATGAAAGCCCTAGTCACTTACAACTGCGCAGCTTGTGTTTTTGGAAAGTTGCGCTGCTGCCATGTGCATCTTTTGCGAGAAAGCCAAAGGCGAGTTGAGTGGAAATTTGACAGCTGCGCAGAAACGCGAGATCGAGTCTTGCGTCGACTTTTGCCGGCAAGAGTCAACGTCTGGAGATGTGCATCGATCTGGTCAGATTCCGCCCAGTGCCCAAACTGTTTGGATCATGTGTTCTTAGTTTTGAGCGTGTTCAAATGACTTTGAGGAATTGCAGGAGCGGCGCATTCGTGCCACCATCCTCACTGGTTTCTTGGGGGCGGGCAAGACCACCTTCCTGAACTTCGTGCTCAAGAGCAACTCGGGATGTTTACAGGCATTTTACTGTACTTCATTTGGTTTACCGCAATATTTTTTGATGCTTAGAGTTTCCCTACAATTAGAAGGAATACGTAGATTAAATATGTGGTTTTCGATACGAGCACAATAACTCCAGGTCTTGGGCATGGGAAGCGCATCGCAGTGGTGCAGAATGAGTTCGGCAAAGTTCCTGTCGATGACCAGCTTATGCTGCTGCTTGGTTTTGAGGGACTTTGCAGATACAAATGAACGAACTTATGCAGTTTCGGCTACATGCGGTTCGGGCGGGATGCTTGTACTTTGTTTTAAGCATTTGAACTTTTCACACTCTGGTCTGACCACCTTTTCCGGGTCTTGTTGGAGTTCTTGCGAGGTTGGAGCAGTCCGCCGCAGAAACCATTGTCATGCCGAATGGTTGCCTTTGTTGCCGTGTTCGTGGGGACCTGGTGGAAGCGCTGAGGTGTGGTAATGTTTGGGAGGGTTCGTTGAGGCTTTGGGCTTGCGATCCTTGGCATTGACTTGGTGAGCTTGGTCCGGGCTTGGTAACCCCATGCTCGCAACATCTATTGGGGAGCACCTGGAGGTGGGGGTCTGTGAATGTTTGGGGAGTGGCTCAATGTTCGGGGTTCAACAAAATAGGAAACATGATGAGCCAAACAGCAAAACCCCAAATTCCTGAGCTACTAAACACGTGAAGCTTGTGACCTTGAGCTTGAAAACCCTCAGCGCAAGGCTCTTCAACCCGAAACACTTCACTTCAAGCTCTGAAATTGATAGCTTGGAGAGATTTTTAGAATATAGGGATTCTTGCACGATCCGCCTTAAGCGCGTCTCAGCTCTCTTAATAAAAGCCACATCCTCCCAATTCCCCAAAACACCTCTGCTCCTGACAGGCGCCTTGCCCCAGAGGATTTGGCCGAGGCATCCGGCAGGAACATCGACTCACTGCTTTCTGGCGGCAAGAAAAATTGCCCCCGATGGATTTTTAGGCGACTTCTCCCAAAGCAAGTTGGTAGGATTGGCTCCCCTTAGTTTGTGTCATCAAGTGCTTCTCATGTTGCGATTGCCCTAAATGTGTAAGCTTCAGGACCACATGTGAGGCCCTGCCCCTGCATGTGTTCATGAGCCAAGTGCGTACCCCAAGCCGAAGAATACTTCCAGTAGAGTTGGAAGCATGGGATGCCTTCTGAGATAACATCTGCGTTGACCACATAGTCTATTAGTATGACCACCTTGTTCACCTGTACCACCTTGACTTAGAGATCGTATTACCTCACGCATCACCTGTCACTGAATGGTTTCGCTCAGAAGTTGGTTTCACTTCCTTTCAGTGGTGCTACCATGAAGAGAATATGTGAATTAAATTACAAGGAAGTGAAACGAACGCATGAATTTACTGAACATACGAACGAAACCCGGGATAGAATGAATGTGGGGCGTGAGCTCCCTTTATATTATACTCTGTGCTCACGCCTTAATAAGGGCCTTGATAGTAATACGCAAAAAGACCATATAAGTTTACTATTACAAGGCGAGGCATGAATGTAATGAATGACGCGCGCTTTTCATGAAAGTACAATTGGGGCTTTGATCGGGGCTTCTTTATTTTTTACTTCTTACGCCTGCGGTTTCTTATGAATAATAATGTGAAGAGAATATAATTCAGGTATATAGGATTCAGAGCTATTCAAAAGCTAAACTTCCTAAGCCGGACCGTTTTATGAGTTGGGTGCTTAGTTGAACAGAGCCCAAGCGAGGAAAACCACAGCTGCCAATACGGTTAAGGCTTTCAATGTTTCCGCTTGCGGAGGCGAAGGATTACTCATTCCTGGTTTGGATGTGTAGACTTCCCTTGCACGCATGGGTCACATGGGTCCACATGTTCTTGAAACTCGGCACCTCATTCTTTTGAACTTGAGGTTTCGCCGGGTTTCGCTTGGAATCGACAAGCTCGATGAGATCATTCTATTTTTGAGCTTTAGGGGTTTTTATGTGCGCAGCCAGAAAGCTTCGGGCCGTCTCCAAAAGAAAACAGACGCCGAATCAATACAACTCTAATTAGACAATGATTGTTTCGCATGTTTCGCCCGAAGCTCGGTCTTGAGACTGCTTCGCTCAGGTTGATCGAGTGCTCCGGTCTTTCGGAGGCACCCGCAATCCTCGCAATCATACTAACCATTCTTCTTGCGCTTCTTGACAAGCCCTCTGTGAGCTTATGTTGGTTGAGAATACACGTATCGGGTGGGAGTGGAGTTGTATGTAGAGCCTGCCAAACGTCACATGCGTGCGAATCGTACAGTCCGTGTCCTCTCTTCAAGTTTTGACTTGCAGGAGGTTTTCTCAGAGAAAGCTTGTTCCATGTTGTTTCTAAGTGTCGTTGTGCGGTTTTGCGGTACCTGCAACCCGTCTAGGCTTCTGCTTCATCCCCGCCCTCCACAAACATTTCATGGGACCATTACATCTCGGTCCAGCAAAGAACATTGCGTTGGACACACTTCGCCTGGAGGTGCTGCCCGTGGCCCAGACTTTCTTCGCCGATCCTTTCGTGCAGGCCGCCTGGTGCATTTGTGGCGGCGGTGGTGCCAACTCCCTCTTTTGAACCTCGATCCCCAGAAGATTCAAGACAGTTATTAACATCAATCTATGAGGACAATTCTTTCGGCATCCCTTCTGCCGGCTTTCATTGTTCTATTTCGCTCAACAAAACAGCATCATGTATCAGTGGGCCAATCGTTGGAAATGTGTTTGGCTGGACTAAAGGTTACGTGGTTTGCGAATGGCCCGGTGGGTTTGTGCAGATACGCCTGGTGATCTCACTAACTATCATTGAGTACCGGTTGCATGCAGGGCTTCCAAGAGGCAGGGAGGTTTAGCCCCCTACCATCCCAATGCTCACAACACAGATCGCACTGCCGTCGCACAGTGTTCTCAAGCTTTAGCGCCGACGTCGATTTTCTTATGCCGAAGAGTCGTTTCAAGCTTGCAGATTGGTACCGTTTCTGCTCATCAATGGTGGCCGTTTTGCAACAGACAGCTGCCCATGTGTGTGCCAGTGGGTTCCGCCCCAAAGCTACAACCCCAACCCGAAAAAGGGTATGTGCGATTCCTCCATTCCACCTTACCCTTCAAACTTCAAGCTCTCCGTGCTCTAAAGAGTGTGGCGCAACATAGTAACCTTTCCATGTGAAGCGGCGACGACCACTAACACCTTCCCCACTTGACAGCTACACCTGTCAAACGCAGCCTTCATACAACATTCGGAACAACTGATACTTCTGTGACGGGGTCTCCCTCTGGTCGCCGAGGCAGGGCCACTTTTGCATTCTTTCAAACTTCGAGATGTTTGGGATTTCATCAGGCTTTGAGTCTTGCGGGTGTGGGTTGGGACTTCGGGTTTCCGGTGCGGGGATGCTGATGTATTGTCTTGTCTGTCAGCCTTCAGCTAGCCTCAACTGCAAAACATGTCTCAAGTCTTCCTCTAAACAAAAACAGACACTGACAACCTTCATTCAACAATGGACTGTTCAGATCAGAACGTCCACCCGGCTCCAAACACCCGGCTCCAACCTCCACCCGGCTCCAACCCAGATGTTCTCAATCCAGGATTCCCCGAATGGGCGCGGCCAGTGGAGCTCTCCCCCCAGACTTTGGTTGTCTGTAGCCAGAGGGCAGAGTCTTAATTCTTGATAGCAAGTGAACGGCCCTCTGAGCTTACGCCTGATGGCCTCGGGATTGGGGATGTTTCGGGTTTGGGGCTTTGCGTGGCAGATCTGAAGCTGTAGGTGTCGCAAAAAGTTGCAGATTCAGGGTCTGCGTGATTTGGAGGCCACAAATGCCCACCCGTGAAACAGAAAGCACGGGCTGTTATGGCCTTCAGTTGCTCTGATGCACCGCAAAATGTCAGTTTGTGCAGATTCGTACAAGATGTTCTTTTCCTGCTAATGGTAGGAATTCGAGCTGCGGCAAACTGATATGCGAATGCAGGTGAAGGTTGATGCTCCAAGACCATCAAGTTGTCAAGACCATGACACGCAGATGAACCGCGAAGTGCCAATACCCTCAGACCCAAGAGCATCCCAAGAGCCACCAACCCCAAGCCAAGGTCGCAGCAGCGCCGCTGTCGTACTTGGCCTGCGAGACGCCCTGCTGCGACGGCCATGAGAGTCTTCTGGTGGAACACCGGCAGGCTGCACTGTTGAATTCTTAGCCAGAAGCTAGGGGCAAGTTCTCGATTCTCGAACGTTCTTCTCGCCCTCAGCCCCAAACCATTCAAAGCCCTTGCACTCTCACAGCCCAAAATGGAAGCGCTCAGGGCTTGCAGATGACTGGCGGACCTGGAAACGAGTCCCAGTTCAAACGCTCCCTCCAATCCTTCAACCCCACCCTAAACGTCCTTCCTGCAACCATATCAAGATTTCCAGGGCACGAAGATTGGCTTCGCGTCTTTCGAGAGCCCGTTCACCGAAATCGACGACCCCAAAAGTCCTCAGGCTGGGACAGAGCTTCTTCGCTGCTTTGCTTTCGGGTTGGACGTCCTGTCTGAGGCTAAGACTTCATGTCGTGTAGTGGTCACCGTCTATCATTGTCAACAGCTACCCCTGCAATCCTCCACACAATGAGGGAGGTGGGGCCCATGTTGCACAAGATCTTTGCGGTCCACTTTCAATTGAGCCGTTGAAAATTGCATTAAGTTAGCTGCTCAGAAATGCGGCTGCAGCTTGTGTGACCGTCTCCGACCGGCTTTACGAAGGCCAGATGAATACTCTCATGCAAACTCTAAGCCGCTAAACCATCCATTGATTCAGCTGCGAACTTCAGCTACGCCTGCGTCTTGTCTGGATCCTGTAGTGGCCACTTGACGAAGACGTGCTGGCCGTTGCCCTCCATTGAGTGGGCGAAGCAGCATCATTCTCGTCCCACCCTCCGAAGCCTTCAAAGCGACTCTTTCTCGGAAGGCCTCGCGCACATGAATCTAGCATGTCTTCGGGGGTTTTTGCAAGGGGTTGAAGTCCCGGCATTGAGAGTTGTGGTATGGATTCAGTGTTTAGGGTTTTTGGTGTTGTTCGTACTTGTACTTCGAAAGATCATCCCAGCCCTGGCGCAGGGCTACAGCAAGATGGAGATTGTTTGTGCTTCCGACCTTGATGCATACCGCATCAACCGGTGGGCAAAGGACAGCCCGGGCTTTGAGTCTGCACTCGTTTTTGGCTGCTGTTACTGGTGCTGCTGCTGCTGCTGCCGCTGCTGCTGCTCCGAGCCCTGTGACACTAAATGCACACACATGTGCACACAGGCCGGCAGCAACAGTTTTTGAAAACCTTGGTCTCAAAGTAGTGGGCCTCAAAGTACTGAGCCTCTAGCTAAAACAGCCAGTCAACTAATTGAAGGGGGGGAAGGGGGGGGGGGCGAAAAACATTACTCGGGCATGCCAGCAGCCCTCGCATCGACACTGAACAGCTCGCAAGTTGCAATGCTAAACAGCAACTAGGGTAACTAGGGGAAATTCTCGGTGGAAGCCTGAGGACGTGGATTTATCTTGCAGTGTCTGAGTACCTCAGAACCTCCTTCCCCCCTCATGAAAAAGACACCTGTGAATAGTAAGGGTATGCCTCAGTGGGATGCAGTGGGGGTGGTACCACTTTCGAACTGAATCCATCTCTGTTAATGGCGTTTTCGGGTACAGAGGCACTTCTGGTTTCCAGAACCCGCTGGTCTTTCTCCTGCAGGACGACAAGGATGTGAAGATGAGCCAGGGAATAGCAACGCTGGAGGCCAGAATCGCCCCAAAACCCCCCCCTCTCAAGCGTTTTCGGTCCTCCAGATGCACTGATTCGAAAGCAGCAGCTCGCTTTCTCCGAGTTCTTGCGAGATCCCACGAGATCCCACAAGATGAGATCACTACCTGCATCCTACTCTCAGTTTTTTAATCCAAGAAACCATAAACCATATCACGTGGGGCTCGCAGGATTACGGGCCCCAGGTACTGCTACGAGTAGAATCTTCATCTGACTACACAGAGCACTGAGCCGAGGCAGCTCAAGAAGTTAGTAGTTCTTGATGCAAGGTATGGACGACAGCGACTGAAGTGAATCAAAAGTGCATCAAAGGAAGGGCCACAGAAGCGACAAGCAGTTGCTAGAGTTGTAGACGTCATGTCGTCAAATCACAAAGTGTGCACGGAAAGTCGTGGAAAGGCCTTTTCCGCGGACATGTCCGGCATGATGCCTCTGGCACCACCTGAAGGTTCCGTTTTCCGGAGAGCGAGAGAGCAGAGAGAAATACCTGGGGCTCCATTTCGGGGGGGCCTCTTAGAAAGGGCAGAATACAATAGAACTCTGGCTAGATCTGCAGCCCTTGCTTGCGGTGCATCCCAAAAATGAAGATCTTAACAGTGAGAGTTTTTTCGAGGCTAACCCATGCGGGAGTAGTTTGGGATCCTGTGATCAAGCACACTGAACCGAAGCTTCCACACGGATCTGGTTGGTTAAGCTGAGACAGGACAAGGTTGTATGCTTTAGATGATTGATGAGGTCAAGACCGTCCGCTGTTTAAGCGCTTGAGTCAACAGACGGCGCGACCTTGTGGTGTTGTTGGAGCCTAACATCGCCCCACCCCCCCTTTCAGCGCAGGATACCTCGCAGACAGCCCCGATGGGCAAACTGCTCCTCGTCGGCGAGGACTTGTTTGCCTAAAGTGGGGCTCAGGCTTGAGGCATAGAGGCACAAAGCATATTACGCGGATTCTGGATTTGCCCAAGGGCATGGAGAACTTTTCATCATGATCTTCTGACCTAACCCCGTGCCTTTCCGGCACATTCTGAGCCCAAGAACTTCTGAACTTAAGGCTTCTAAGCCGTTCTCAGCCTATGCCAACAGGCGAACCACTGAATGTTCATAAACCAGGAAGTTTTGTAACCTGAGGTGGAACGACCCCTTGAGTGGTTTAGGGGAGGATGGGGGTGGGGGGCCCAGAAGAGGGGGTGGGAGAAAGAGAAGGAGAAGGGGGACTTGGCTCGGCAAGGCCTTCAGAAGAAAAAGGAACATCATATGAGAGCCTTGTGTTGTGCTTGGGCCATGTGCCCAATTTGAATTTGGGCGCACTTCGAGGGCACTGCTGACTGCTTCTTTTTGCAGAACTGCACAGAAGCGGCATGTTGGGCGCCTCCGGAGTGGGGTTCGGTGGATGATTTGTTATGCGTGTGCGTGTTTGTTTGTGCAGTTCTTTGTTTTCAATACCAAGACAAGCGCCCTGAACTTTGAACTGAAGTACTGACTCCCGAAGATTCCCTTCGACCCTAAACCGCCTGAACTTCAGAATCTCATCAAAAGGTCCTCGATCTGGGGGACACCGCGGAGTTCCTGGACCTGGAGGGCGATGGGCTGCCACCCCGACACGGGTTTGTCAGGCTTTTGGCTTGAGGTGGAAGAAAGTCAAGAAAAATAAGCGTCAAACATGAACATTTGTGAATGGACTTTGTTCGCTCTGTTTGCTCCAAATACAGCATGTCCCAGCTGATGAGTATGGGGATAAGATCTCGAGACGGTTACTGTAAATGCCAGAGCTTTCGACATGCATGTATGACCCCAGCTACATGTGGATGTTGTACTCGACATAAGCTTACAAGGAGCAAGAGCACGGGCACGGATCATTGTGGGGTTCTGTGGCGCTGCAGGGCCAAGCTGCAGACGATCCAGACCTGAGGTCCTGAGAACATTTCTCGGTTCGATCCTTGCCCGTCATTTTGAACTCTACAGCTTTCCAAGGCTAACATCAGCGGTTCCTTGCCAACGCTTGGCAAGTGCCAATTCGGCTCTGAACCGTAGCTGGTCCCCCAAGCGATGGGGAACGCTTGCGCGCACGTGAGCGCTAAGTCTCTCAGCATACAACTGAAGCACCCTCGCATCTGGTCCGTCAAAGTCGAGGTCTAATTGTTGCAAGTTTGCACAGATAGCGACAAAAAGCAGTCCTCAAAACGACCTAAACTGTGATGGGTTTGAGTTTTGCGTCGGCAGCAGCCCTTTGTCCACAAAGTGGACAGAGCATTGCCCGAGTTTTTTGTCTCAGAACTTTTTCAGCCTTCAAGGTCCAGGGTTGCCCTTTGACAAAGGGGCTGTAAGGGGGTCTAAGGTCCCAAATAAGGCCTTAACAGGCCCAATTCTGCCCTCAAAACGCCTTTATACGGCACTCTGGGCCCTTACACCACCCTCCCTTGCACCGCGGTGGTTCCTTATGAAAAGTGAACTAAATTGAGCTAAGATGCTAGACCACAAAGCCAAGAGGGCATCCTGCTGCCCTGATGATCCTCCGACTGTCTCGGGGCTCCCCCGGGCCGAACGCTCGTCGAGGTTTCGCGATGCCACTTCACCTGATGCGCATCGAAGAGCTTCAGAATGCCTAGTTCAACTCATAGGGGTCGTCATGCTCGTCGGGATGTCTCTGCCCCAGCCACTTGCCCCCCAGTTGAACCTTAGCGCAGTTGGACGGAATTGGATACGGTTCAGTGGAAGTTCGGGGCTCAGGGTGACCAACATATAGAGTCCAAGCCACTGTTGCAAAAATGCTTTCAAAGCCAGGGAGTAAACTGAGTAAACCTCTCAGTATGCTCAATGTAAAGATGGCCTTGACCAGGGGGGTGCCCATTGATATGCCGGGAAGAACCCTGGCCCTGCAGCGAATTCGCCCATGTGTCTCCGCTTCCTTTGGCTTCATTGAGCTCTTTTGAAACCTACAATCGGAGCCCGGAGTCTTATTTACTTATTGTGGTTCTTGCAGGCTCAACAATGCTATGCGATATCAGTCGTCTTGAAACGGCAAATGGAGAGGTCTTGGTGGGGCGCAGAGCTTCGAGCGGTTTGGAGTAGTTGAGCTCCAAACCCTTTGAACTTGCAGCAATTTGGCCAAAATCGCCAGCATAGGCATTTCTCAAGATCGGGGTCACACAGCATTAGGACTGAAATGCCATGAGGCCTCGTTTTGGTATGCACAAAACCAGGATATACCAGATAGGCCCTCGGTTTGGAGAACTCGCCGGTTCCCACTTTGCAGTCCGCTTTGTCGACTGCGCGTCTTCCTGTGCAGCGGCTCCACCATTGGTTTACGCCGACCTTCTGGCAATCCCCAGTCATCGGCCATCGCCGCATGTGCCAAAGACAACTGCCCGAACCGTAGGGAAGCGACACCCCCTCCACCGAAGATTTGCAAAGGAAACTGAGGGCCGTTTCGCAGGTAACGCCGGCTCCCTTAGAAAGGGCAAAGCGCCGAACACAAAAGACACGCTGCATGCTTGTGGGGATTTCAAGTTGATTTTTCAAGGCCACGAACGTCGCGCCCCAAATCCTTACACGTCTGATGCAGGGGAGTTGTTGCCTTGGTGTCCTTTGTGAGGTTTGAGCCGTCACTTGAAACCAGTTTGATTGGGCTCGATGTCAGCTCCATGCAAGGTCCCCGCGCTTCCCAAAAGGCACCAAAGGACAGTCAAGCTCATCCCGCTACTCCAAGAAGCGAAGGCAGCGTTTAAGCTGGACAGCGTGGTTTGCGTTTGCCAGGAGCCTATCCCGCAAGCAAGCTTCGAGCGTCTTCGGGCCTTTGGTTCTTAAGAGGAGAGCTTGGATTCACCGATGTGAAGGCTGGAGGAGGTCAGTAGCATTCAGTAGCGACTAGAGCCCCCTAAAACTCCCTCAACCCTTTGACACATTGACATCCTTGAACACCCGAGAAAAACTGTAGAGTACTGAGGCGATGCAGCCAACTTCGACCTTTTAGAGGCTCCGCTTCCGCCTGCCAGATGTGCTCAAGGTTTTGGGCTTTGGGCTTTTGCACCTTGAGGTCTGCAGTTTAGGTGTTGGGGTTCAGGGTTTGCTTTTCAGGCCCAGATCCTCAAACCCGCAGAGAACAGGGTTTGGGTTTTCGAAGTTTTGGCTACGTCTTCTCAGGGTGGCGAATCTGCCGAAGGCAGCGGCGCGGATGTGGCGCACGGGGACTCAAAGAACGGGGGTTATATATTATAAGGGTTGGTTTAGGGCCTCAAGGTTCTGCAATGTTCTGTAATGTTCTGTACCGTGTTGGCCGTGTTGGAAGATCGGGCTTTGCTGGATCTGAATGCGTTCAAGCTCTGTCAACAGTCAGCCTTCAAAACCTGATTTCCCAACCTGATGAGCCTGCTAGGAGATTCCACGCTCCAAAGCGCAACCGTACCATAAGGGATGCCTGACGAGCTTTGCAAGAAGCCCCGAAGCCCACACAACCAGACAAACCGAAGTTCGAAAACGTCGAGGCAGCTCCTGAGGGAGCAGCTGGCCATAAGCGACGCCGCAACCCCAAAATCGAGGATTTTGTGGTTTCGGAGGTTGAGGAAGGCTTCGGCGCCGTGTTTCGCAGTGCTTCGCAGTAATGCGCGCTGCAGCCTGCAGCTCTAAGCCGTTTTGGTCGTTAAGCCCCAAAGGGCCGCACAGAGCGCAACGAAGGCAGATACATTTAAGTTTCATGATTCATGTTGAGTGTTTTAGAAGTATGGTCTAAGGCTTGTCACATGTTCAGCGCACAGCACCTTCGCTTCCCAACGCGCCCAATTCATGACCTTGGTGAGGTTTAGGGCCGGGTTTGATGCAGATGTGTACTTTTGGGTTTTGGAGGCCCTCATGTTGGTCTCCAATTTGCACCTTTTGACAGAAAATTTTGGCTTGGGTCTTGAGAAGCATTTTTCTCTTGGATTGACATTGGGATATTTTGGGATTTGGGAGGCCTCTTCATCTTGATCTCAAAAGTTCATGCTTCGGCTTCCAGGCCAGGAAGCTTCAAAGGGAGTATTTTTCAGGTTCCGGAAGGTCACAGACGTAACGGTGAAGCACAAGACTTGAAAACCTGGTTCTAGCATTGGAGCTTCAAGCACACACAATTCAAGCTCACGATTCCTGCGCTGGTGTGGCACTCGCGTTTTAATCTGCTGTTGTGGGGTTGAGGGGCAGGGCGGCTTTACGGTTGAGGGTGTTCATGGTGACTTGCGTCGCGATTTTCCTGAATTGTCTCGAGCGCGCGTCCGCATCGTCTCATGCCGTTGAGCGGATTTTGTTCCTACCGTCGTGGTACCCGTAGGACTCAGTCCTTCAGCTTTCAGCAATTGGCTGATGCTGCCCAGGTGTGCTTGCTGAACAAGTGTGACCTCGTCGACTCGGTGCAGAGAGACCAGGTCCTTCAACGGCTTCAATCATGTGTGACGGTTTTGCGTCCAAAGGTTCTAAGCTTCATGTCTCATGGCGCAACTTTGGTTGCTTCCTCACATGGAGCAAGATCCAGCGCCTTTGGCCCAAAGCCCCAAACGCCCAAACCTTGCTAAGATTTGGCTTGAAACGCTTGCGAGGTGTCCTCCCGTATCCGGGCGGTGAACCCGGCTGTGCGGGTGGTTCCCTGCCGACATGGCAAGGTTCGGAATGTGCGCAAGCGTTTCGCTTTTCCCTCCAAAGAACTTAAGGGGGCTTAGGCAGGAGATCAGCAGAGTTAGAAGTAGCGACAAGTGCTCCTACCCGCATCTTGACTGTGGCCTTCGAAACTCGGTAAGACACAGACTTTTGAACGAGCTTTGCAGGTGAACTTGGCACAGGTGCTGCAGGTGAACTCATTTTCCCTCGACGGGGCGCTCACGCTGGAGCGGCGGTTGTTCTTGTGGGAGTGTTGTTTCAGACAATTCGCCCAAACCCTGAGAGGAGGAACTTGTGATCCTTTGATTCTTTGATCTTTCGTTGCTCTCTTGATGCTGAAAGGGTCCATCTTGAGGACAACAGCCCACAACTATGCTGAGTGCTGAATCTGGCACCAAGGCCGATCCCAGACACTCAAATGACAATCCAAGCCCTCCCCAGAATCTGCTAAACAGACAGGCCGTTCAGAGATCGTGCTCTCCGTGGTGCCCATATGGCGCTTTTGTGTTTACATGTTCTTAGCACCACCGAGCCACCGACTCTTAAACAAGCGCTTTATATTCCTTCGTGAATCAGAGGCCCCCGAATGTTGCTAGGATGCCCACTTCTTGGGGACCGACACAGACCATGGCCGCTGGCTGAGCTTTTGTCGGCTTCTGGTTGTCAGCCTCCCCACCCGGTCCTTAACCCCACACCGAATATTTGGCGAATACCCTGCACGCTGCAATGCAATGTTCGAAGGGCGCCATTTGGCAACGGGGACGGGGGCGGCAAAACATGGCAAACCCCTCCAGTCGCAACGGGAAGCCTCGGCTGAAAGAACTGCAAACTGTCCTGGCGGCCATTCCGGTCATGAGCCGGGGTTCTGTCCTAAGCTGAAAGATCTGAGTTGGGCGGCAAAGAGAGGCTCGGGCCTCAAGCAATCACACAGCAAGAGCATGAACAATCACATCAGTGTGCGGAGTTCCAGCCCCAGTCGCAGAGATCTTCTGGTGCTTCTTTTCGCCCACCCTCCCCATAAACCATGAGTTTCTTTTTGGTATGAGATTTGATTTGAATTGAGCTTTCCTGCCTGGGCCCCACGGCCATGTGGATGAACCACGGGATGAATAGCGTGACGGCAATACAGAGAAGTTGAACTTATTGAGGCTGCATTCTGGTACCGTCGCGAAGCTGAAGCCTGTCGTAGCACGCCTGATACTTCTTGGTCTGCCTGGATCTGCCTGGGCGGCTGTCGGAATCAAACAGCGCCACTCGTTGGGCATGGTTGGGGCCTGAAAGTTGTATGTGCAAGTTCCGGCGTGGCTCGGAGCAGACTCCCTTAACAGAAGTTCACGTGTGTTGTGTGTGTGCCAAGGGTGTTGCATGGTTCGGGGTTCAATGGGTTCAACGCTTGCAACTTGCCAGTGTGCTTGTCTTGTGTTCGGGGAAGAAGAAGTTGTGACGGGGCACGAACAAAAGGCTGGCGTTGTGTCTCTATTTGCTGAAGCTGCTGGCTAGTAAAGTGTCGCTCTCGATCTCTTTCTCGCTATCCAAATAAGATTCACTGGAGTAGGGGTTCGGTCGAGTGGTCTCGACATGTCATGTGTTCTGTGTTATGTGTTCTGTGTTCTGTGTTTCGTGTTCTGTGTTCTGTGTTCTGTGTTCTGTGTTCTGTGTTCTGTGTTCTGTGTTCTGTGTTCTGTGTTCTGTGTTCTGTGTTCTGTGTTCTGTGTGCTGTGTGTGTGTGTGCACGAGCGCGAGCGAGAGAGCGGGAGAGCGAGAGAGCGGGAGAGGGAGAGAGCGAGAGAGCGCGAGAGCGGGAGAGAGTGAGAGAGGGAGATAGTGAGAGAGCGAGAGTGTGAGAGAGCGATAGTGTGAGAGTGTGAGAGTATGTCTGTGAGTCTGCGTGTCTGCGTTTCTGCGTCTCTGCGTGTCTGCGTCTCTGCGTCTCTGCGTGTCTGTGTGTCTGCGTGTCTGCGTGTCTGTGTGTCTGCGTGTCTGTGCGTCTGTGTGTCTGTGTGTCTGTGTGTGGCACAGGTGAAGGTCATGGTGAAGGTCATGAGCAGGGACACGAGCAGGTGAGGTTGCGAAGGGTTTGCTGTGCCAGCTTTGCTTGTCAGCATGAGTCTTGGGAGTTTAACATGCTTGGGCATGTGGATCATGGATTCTTCATGATTCTTCACGAATGCCAGACTAGAATGCTTGCTTTGCCATGAAAGAGCTCGTAGGTTCCCCCCGCCTCCCACCCCCTCCCCCCCCCCCCGGCCAATTTTTTTCGAGCCCTGAACTCCGCTTTTCGTTTGGATCCTAAACGGTCCCAAACTTCGTAAATGGTTGACTCCCCAAAATAGGAGAGACCCTGGAACTGATTAACTAATCCAGTGGCAGCCTTTGGGGCAAGAATCCGCCTGGAGGCTGTAAGTTCGTCCTCGCATCCCCACGCCCACAACGCCATGAGCAGCCTTGGTCCCTCGGCTGGGAGCTTGAGCTGGCAAGACTTTCTCCCACAGGAAACAAGACTCTGTCCAGGAATTTCACCAGACGTGCTAGCCACTTGTTAGCGGCTGTTAGTGTTCAGGGATTCGTTGAAAAACCTGGTATACTGTAGAAATTTGTCCTTTGCTGCAAACTGTGGCATTGAGTGGGGTGAGGCGGCAGGGCGTGCAGCAGCAGGATGCAGGTTGGTTACTCCTGATGGCTTCTCCCAGGCAAATCTATGCCTCCTATGCCATTCGCCTCCCAAGTGTTGACAATCAGCTTGAAAACTCCAGAAGCCTTTGCAAACTCACAAACTGTCTGTGGATTGGTCAGGGTTTGGTTGGGAAGAAGTGTGAATGTTGGGCGTTAGAGTTAGGTCGTGTTCAGGTTGGATAGTACATCAATGTACACCTTTTGCCACAAGTCATAAGTCCTCCTTCAACCCTGCATCTCGGCAAGGCATTGAGATGGCAGAGGCCGTCGACCGCACTGCTCTGCAGGTGCGGCCCGCGAACCTAGAATTGTGCAGATCTTGCAAGATTGTGGACTGCAAATTGTCAACCTGTTCTTTGGTTTGTGCATAGCAAGAACAAGATTAACAAATGCGTTCTGAAAGGAGGCCTTGGAGTTTTCTTGAAAAGTTCTCTTGGAGATCCCTTTGGTGTTCCCTGGGAGATCCTCCTTAGAGCCTTAGAGTTCCTTGGAGATTCCTTCGAGATCCCTTGGAAATCTTTTGGAGTTTGCTTGAAAACTTAGATCGCTTGAGATCCTTTGAAGATCCCTTGGAATTTCCTTTGAGTTTGATCGGAGTTCCCTTGGAGTTCCCTGCGTTGCCTGTTCGACTTGCCATAATCGGCCACAGGGGTTCTGGTTGTTTAGTAGCTTCAGCCGCCCTTAAGCAGCCTGCCAAATTTTCAGTTCTCTTCAAGCCTTGCCAGAGGGTTATCTTCTGGTTTCAAGGACTTGTCTTTGGCTTCTCAGGTCGATATGGTGAACATCCCTGAGCGTTGGAAAATCCGACTATACAGTCCAGACATGGTCTAGCAAAATCGCTATCATGAACGAGCATCCAGCACCTTGGATCCTCCATAAATTCAACCTTAGGCCCATCTAAAGACAAGAGCTTCAAGCTCCGAAGCCATCAGCCTGCGTTGCAGGAATGGCTTAAAGGGGTGGTGGAGCGCCTAGGAAAGGACCTTATCCGCCCAGCCCTTGGGTTCTTGTTGAACTTGCTTTGGGGGGCCGGGGCTCCGTGTGATTGAGACATCTGCGATATATGAAACGCCTTCAAGTCCGAACCGACGGGTGTGAGGGGGAGCTACTGGACCGTGCAGGTCTATGTAAGGGCGAACGGAGTTGCCGCTTTGCAGTTTGGACTTATTTCTGAACACCGGATGCAAAGCTCGAGTCTTCCACAGTTCCGAAGATGCTGTGCATGGGAAGAAGACACCTGCGAGGGTGTTGGAACATTTGGTGAAACTTGGTGTGTTCCGACTCCTTTGGTGTGGATCTTCGGTGACGGCCTAAGGTGAGCTGACGAGGTGCTGACCCGGTGCCATGCCCGATAGAGGTTCCTCCAATCACAACACCAGCCCAATACACCATCCACCAGTCAATTAGGCATTCAAGGGCATTCAAAACACACGGGGTCGGAATCAGTCCCCGCGTCCTTTGCAATAAGTGTCAAAAGCAGACTCGGATGTTCCGATGTGCTGAAATCTGGGCCCGACAACCTGCTCTTGAAGCAAACGCCAAGCCAACACCAAGCCAACGCCAAGTCAAAGCAAAGCAAAGCCGAGGCCTGAAGGGCGTCTTGCGTCATGGAGAGGCCCTGCCCACATGTGCATCCCTCTGCGTCCCATTTTAAATAAAGGATCCTTGTGCCCTAAGCCCTTAGTCGGATGGAGGCGGGCGCCAGCAAAACTCAGGGCTCCTCTTGCTGTCTCCGGGTGGCTGTTTACACTGTGGATCATTGTAACCGTGGCATTTGGGCTGCAGCGCTTCAAGCCCGTCCTTCCACCGTCTACCATTCGAATCTTCGATTCTTCGAACAGCATGGCGGCAAAGAAGAAGGCGCCTGCTACGGGAGTGCTTCCGAGTGAACATGGGGGCCGAGCGTCCCATGCTCCTGAGTCTCAGTACATGCTGGAAGTTTTCTTTCTCAAGCTCTCGTCCGACATCTCTTCAAAATGGCTCATGGCATTTATGTTCTGAGTTACAGTCGAACTGGCGGATGTATAGACCTGTATAGATATGTATCGCGGATCGTCTCTGGGATGATCTGTCTTTGCTTGGGGCCTCCGGACCCGAGGGACGCGAGTTCATCACGATTCCCCAAAATGCCAATCCCTAGAGCCCTAAGCAAGAAGCCTTAAAGAGCCTAAAGAGCCTAAGAGGTCATGGTCGATGTGATCAGCGACGTTGTCTGACCCTTCTGTTGGATCGGGAAGCGCAATCTGGAGGGCGCCATGAAGCAGAGCCTTGGCCGTGCTGAAACTTCTCCTCGAGACAGTTCATTTGCAAAAAAAGTTTCACAAGCAAGGTCGAGTTCCTCCCAAGCTGGTGCGAAGTAAGATCTTGAGGGGCATCAGAACTCGCATGGGCAAGAAAGCAGAGTTACCAGTTATCGAAGAATCGCATGCTAGACCCCTGAACTCTAAACGCATGCAGAAACGCTTGAGACATCGTGTACTTGAAGCGTCTGGAACATTCTGGAACCCTGGAGTGCAGAGCAGCCCTCCTCCGAAAGTCCGAAAGGTTCTCTGACGTTGACTTTGAAGTTCGCTGGCTGCCATATCAGCTGAACCCCCAAGCATCCGACAAGCCTTCCAGCAAGATTTGTGGCTGCATTTGCTACTTGGTCTCGGGATTGATTTCGCCGGTTGGAAGTTTTGTCTCGCGGAGCTCGTGCAGTAGAGGGTGCGCAAGATGCGGTGGTTTCGCAGCTTTACGTGATTGAATGCTGCGTGCTTCGCCCAAGGATGCAGGCTTACGCGGAAAAGTTCGGCAAAAGCAAGGCTGCCAGTCACGAAAGCCTGCACGGTTGCGCTTGCTTTCGTTCATGATTGTGCCATCGAAGGCCCGAAGCCCTAAAACTCCAACACCCTAAACCCTAAAGCCGTAAAGCCCCAAAACCTAAAACCCTAAAGGCTCAACCCCGAAACCCCCAAACCCCGAAAAGCCTGAACGCAAACTCTCCCTCCCCCTTCCCCCCACCCTTCCCCCCCCTTCTCCCCGCGGAAGGTGTTGGGATAGTTGAAACTTTGGGATAGTCCAGGCGTTTTGGGTACTTCGGGCAGGGCCGGACACCAGGAGATCCGAACAGAAAGCTTTACATTCGAGCACAAAATGTGGGCAACAAATCGTACTTCTTCCAATGCTTCACATACGGGCACAAACGGCGGGTGACAAATCGTACTTCTTCCCGCGTTTGATTTTCGATCACAAACGGTGGGCAACAAATCGTACTTCTTCAAACGCTTCACATTCGGGACAAACGGCAGGTGACAAATTGTAAGTTTTCAACGCTTTACATCCGAGCACAAGCTGTAAGCAACAAACCGATCCTTTCCCAATGCCTGACATTCGAGCACAAACGTTTCCAAGAACAACGAAGCCACGAAGGTGTACCTGACAAAGTACATGTCAGTGTACCACACAAATGCTACATGTGAGCACTTACGTCAAGGGTTCAAGACTCTGCGTAAATGTAAAGTGTGTGCTCACAAGAAAGTCGCAGCAGCCTAGACAAGGCAAAGCTGCAGGGGGGGTGCGCAGATAGTACAGTGTTTGTGCAGCCTTTCCCTTGAGTAGTATTTGAGCCCAATACGTGTTAACACTGCAGCCCTGTGTTGGCTTAAAAGTCCGAGCTTTTGTGAGTTTAGCATTCCGCGCAGCTTTATCCTGGAGCACAAACTGTGGGAAACACATCGTACGTCTTGGAATGCTTCACAGTCGGGCACAAACGGCAGGTGACAAATCGTACTTCTTCAAGCGCTTCATATTCGAGCACAGGCTGCAGGCAACAAATCATATTTCTTCCAATGGTTTGCGTTCGGGCGCACAGTCTTGGCGACAAATCGTATTCTTGACATTGGAGCACAAGCGGCGGGCGACAAATCGTGCTTCTTCCAGTGTTTTACATTCGTGCACAAACTGCAGGAAGTACAGCGTGCTTCTTGCAACGCTGCACATTCGAGCACAAACTGTTGGCGACAAGCCGTACTTCTTGCGATGCTTCTTGTTCGGGCGCGCAAACTGTGGGCAACAAGTCGTACTTCTTCCGATGCTTTACGTTCGAGAACAAACTCTGGGCACAAATTTCGAGCAACAAACTGCGCTTCTTCCAATGCATTACATTCGAGCACAAACGGTGGGCAACAAATCGTACTTCTTCCGGTGCTCGAGCACAAACGGTGGGCAACAAATCGTACTTCTTGAGATACTTCATTTCAGCACAAAGGGACCATTCCCCCCCTTCCCCCCCTTCCCCCCCCCTCCCCCTCCCCCCCTTCCCCCCTTCCCTTCCCCCCCTTCCCTTCCCCCCCTTCCCCCTTCCCCCCCCCCTCCCCCCCCTCCCTTCCCCTTCCCTTCCCCTTCCCTTTCCCCCCCCTCCCCCCCCCCTACCCTGCATGTTGCGAGACGCTTTGCCATGCCAATCGTCCAAAGTGCATCACAGCCCCGAGTGTTTGCAGCAGCAGGAAGAGGTGAAGCAGATGGGGGATTGGATGAAAGGCCCGCCCTGACGCCAAACTTCCCCAAATCCTTAACGTCACACTTGCTGAAGGCTCCGACCGGATGATGCCGCACAGGGGTGCAGATGGAATTGACCTCAACTCCAAGACTGCTCCCTCAACCCTCAACCCGGAGGCAAGTTCGATGCCGTGGGGCTGCCTTATGCCTTCACAGAGAAGGGAATGGTGCCATGGGCACCGATGGTGAGTTTGCATGGTTTTGGGTGTTGGGATTTTCTTGTGCAAATCAGATTCAGGTCTTCGATGGTCAAAAGTTTAAAGAGCCAAACATTGCCCCGCAGCAGGCAGGTGGATTGAGCGCTCACCCCCACCAATCCACATCATTATGTGCTGGCAAGGTCTTTCTTTGCTGAGCAGTCCTTATATATGGAATTCCCCCTGCTCGTTGAGTAACTCTTGAACGCAGTGATGTTTTTTGTTTGAGTTGGTTGCTCGGCAATCCGGCATGAGCAGTTTGATTGGTATCCTCATCATAGGGACCGGCCTGTAAAAGTGGCACATGCAGACATGTTCTGCACGCACAACACATGGCTCAGTTCTTCCCTGACTTGGTAAGAGACTGCGCATGCACTCTGGAGCCAGATGTCAAGCCGTGACGGTTGAGGTGAGCAGCACCTTTGATGCCCACCGGGTCCTCACTGAAGCATATCGGCTGCTGGGCCACATTCTATGTGCCATGTTGGGCCACTTTTGTCAGATTGAACCAGAGTGATCTGCGGAGTGTAGTGAAGTTTGGGTATTTGCTTCCTTAGGCAGGGTGGAGCGGCTGCGCAGGATAAGGCGGCCGAGGCAGGATACAAAGTGACGAGTTCTGAGGCCCCTGTTTGTTGAACACGTTCCCTAATACGACCTACTTGCGTCTGACCTAGCTTTTGTCATGCAGCCTCGGCGGCCTGAGCGTTCCGAGTTTCCCCAAGGCCACAGGCCGTAGACGGGATAGTGCGCCTCAACAAAGCTCCCTCCCCCCTTCCGCTTTTGACGGGGCGGCGGGTGGCCCCCTCCCTCTCCCCCCCCCCCCCCCCCCCCGACGGGTAGGTCTAGGTTTGAGGTGGTTGATTGTTTCAATTCCTATTGAGAACCTAGGATTCTTATTCATGTTGCTAGGATGCCTATTCATATTTTTATGATTCCAATTCATATTTAATTCATATTTGTTGATGTTTCCTATGAGTTTCAATAAGAGCATCCTATTGAAAGGCATCATAGGCCCCCTTTAAAAAGCCGGGGGGAGGGGGGAGGAAAGGGGGCCTGAATCCCGGTGACGTGCTTTTTGGCGCACTCTCTCCGCTGAGTCCCGACAGGGCCACAGCAATCATCGAAGGCTCGTCGGAGTCTCGGAGTCGTCTCTCAGGTTACCTCCTCCCTTTCAGGCCAACCTGGTTGCAAACCCACTTTGAGCTTGCATGCCTGTTGTTGCAGGCTTTGTTCCACTCCTATTTCGCCGAGGAGTCACATGGCAGAGTGTGTTTGTGAGTCATGTTCACAGATTTATCTTCTGTTCAAGGCACTCAAGATTTTGTGTTGTTTGACGGTCAACCAGGGACAAGGACGTGTAGAAATATCAAGTTTTAGCAGTGAAGCTCAACCGCTGCATTTTGGGTTCAGATAACAATACCCCCTACGTCAAAGCCAATAACTTGGCTACTTTGATTAGGTCGGAGGTTGACTGTATTCATCACCAAGTATCAAGAGCAGGCACCAGCACATTCATTTCCAAGGCCTTGTGTTTTTCCCCAAACAGTCTACTGTTAGGATTCTAAATTCATTTAAGGATTGCCGACATTCTGAGGACTGTTGCCGCGTTCCTGGGCTCCTTGTCTCCCTTTCTCTCCCTTTATCTCCCTTTGTCTCCCTTTATCTCCCTTTGTCTCCCTTTGTCTCCCTTCATGTGGGTGTCTTTGCCAGGTTGCTGTGCTGCTCGTCTCCCTTTGTCTCCCTTCGTTTCCCTGTGTGTCCCGTTGTCTCCACTGTTTCTTTCACGTGCCTTTGACTGTTTGGGGTCTTAGGTGGTGTAATTCGCTTCCAAGGAAAGCGCCCAATGACCCCGAGGAACTGAAGAAGGTCACGGGGCTCTGGTACATATGGAGTCATTTTCTCCGTTCTGCTTCTGTAGAGCATGGTCATTCAGTGTCTTTGGACTTCGCCGCCGAAGGGCTTCTGGTTTGGTGTTGTCGTCTTTTGATGCAGCGGGGTTGCCTTTTTGCAACAACACTAAAGGTGGTTTTCACAGGTGAAGGAGGTTTGTCGACGATATGTTGTGTGTGTGTGTGTGTGTGTGTGTGTCGTTCTTGTCGTAATTCGCAGGAGCTTGAAGATGCATGCTCTAGGTTCCCCCGTCCGATAAGTACTTTGTCCCCGGTATGCTGTATTAGTTTACCGGGTGCCATGGGAAGACAAAGCGCAAGCCAAAAGCTTGTGCATTCAGGCCTCTATTTACGCTCACGAAAGCAGGTCCATGTAAACCCTCTTGCCCAAAGCTGAAACATGCGAAATTTCCTCAAACCACCTGATTCTTCCCACATTTCCGAGACCCTAGGCGGCGGCCGCAGCCGGCATCGATGGCGAGGCCCTGCCGCCCGGCTTGTCAAGTGCTGAGATGCCGGGATCCCTGTGGCGAACATTTGTGGGCGTGAACAGCCTGCATGAATCCGAAACTTGAGCCTATGACACCTCTTCGGCAACGCAAGCCTTTTGCTTACGAGTGTTCCTGTGTTTTCCTTGCTGCATGCCAAGCTGCCCAGCAATCAGAGTCCCTCCCATAAGCTTCTAACCATTGAACTTGGAACAATCCAAATCCCAAGCCCTGAAGCCCAAGCAACAACAAGCCCCAAACCCTTCCACAACCTTGAACTCTCGACCCTCAGAGTAGTTGAGCCGAGGGTCGCTGACAAGTCCGTGGCTGCCGCTGAGGTAAAGGAGGCGGGAGCGGACCCTTCCATCTAATCTTTAACAGAGGGAGGGGCATGTGGGAGTTTTGGGGTCTGTTCATTCCCCACCTCGGTTTGCGGCATTGCGTTTCAATTCTTCTCACTCCGCTATTGTCCTCGCCCACGCATGAAATGTCGGAGTGCACATGCTTCGAGCGGCTCAGGGCTGCTGCACAGGCCGGCTGCAGAGTGACTTTCAGAATGCTGGAACAAGGCAGCTGGGAAACGGTGACCCAGAATAGTCCAACAGTTCCCCCCTGTGATTGCATATTTGATCTGCTGGCGACACTACTGCAGGAACTGTGAAACCTTACGCTCGGGTCTAAATCCTCAACCACCTTGGCATCACCTCGGGCATAAAACGCAGAGCCCGGGCTTGGGGCTTCAAGGAGCTCAAGATCGGCCAGCAGCTGCGCGTTGCTAAGATGCAAAAGAGGGGCGGCTGGGGATCGGTACCGAATGCAGTTTCCACGCGCGGCCATCAGCTAGCCCTTCACTAGCTCTCTGATACGTTTTCAATGCCTCCTCGCCTGGGGCTTTTTAGACTTGGTCAGAAACCTCAGAGCCTTAGACAATCATTCGAGGTGCGCGGCGTGCCTCACTTCGTGATTCGGGCCGATGGTTCATCGTGGCCCGGTTGCAACCGTGATGACTTAAGGTTTTCCCGTGATTGAAGTGCAACCGAATCATCATAATTTTAGACCTGAAGAACATCCAACGGCCAAGTTGAATGATGTTTTTGTTTTTAACTTCCTGCAGAACAAAGGAAGGCGCAGCAGATTTCTGGTGCCCAGCCACCAGAAGAGTTTGTCGATGCGCTTCTTGGTCTTTCAAAAGCGAAAGTCCTCCCAAGTCGAGGCATATGAAGGACTTGCAGGCCTCGAGAAGAAGCAGAGCAAAGCGGGACTTTTTCTTTCCCAGCAGATGTTTGCAAGATTATGCGTTGCAGCAATATTTTCAAGTACGCTCAGCTATTTGCCCAGCTGCGGGATCTTGCGACCTGCCCTGAACAAAGGCACCTTGAACCAGAGCCCTCCGGAAAACTGGTTGCAGCCGCCGAGGATTCGGGCCATGGCGAAGTAAAGTTGCGAGCTGATGAAAGCACAGCACGCTGCGGTGGGAGGGAGCTTGATCTACTATGATCTACTTCGGGTTTCGGATTCACAGTTTCAAGTGCGCTCGGTGGCTCAAGGCTTAATCTCTTGAGGGCATGGGTATGATGCAGCTTTTGCACAGTTCCCTTCAATAAAACAAAGATTCTGCACACGCTCTTAGCGTCACGGGGGGTGGGGTCTGTGCAGAAATCTCAGCTGTCTAGCTTACCCCAAGTGACACTCTGCTTCCTCGGTTTTAATTTGCTTCATGATCTTTATTTCGCGTCCTTTGCAGCCAGTCGGGGGGTGCCCCCTTAGGGCACCAACTCCGCCGACAGCACAGGTCGCAGGGCTGATTCACAAAGAGACGAGGAAGATGTACTAAGCTGTAGCTTACTTGTAGCATTTGGACCCTGCTCAGTGCATTTCAGCTTCTTCAGCTGACTAATTACAATCATTGAGGAGTGAGGGTTAAGGCTGTTTGTCACATCTTTGGAATCAGCTTTCCTTCGTAGTTCGACCTTCTCAGTGATGGAGCTTGCTGCCTGCAGACTCCGATAGGACATCGACATGCTTTCGATAACGTGTGAGGGCTTTTCAGACAGTGTATTCGCTTTTCTCACGATGGTCGGGTCGGCCTAGTGCCAAAGTTCGGACTGGGACCTTCGGCGATTGATGGGCGCCCACATGGAGCGGCTGTGAGCATGCACTGTGCCGCACTCGTTCGGCAGACGCCGCAACGACGTCAGTGCAAGTGCGGTGCAGTTCTGATTCTTCCCTACAGAATTGACGAGTTCGCTGTAGAAGGTTGTTCTCGTTTTTTCCGCTCCAACAGGCCCTCCGGTGCGTCAGGAATGCCGCAGGTTGCCAGCCGGTTGCTTGAGCCAAGCTCTCCTGACCTCTCAGAACAAAGACTAAGACCTTGGGTGTTGCAGTAACTGTTGCGCTTCAACTTCTTAACTCCCCAAACCTGAAAGTGTAAGAACCTTACATGACCTTGGGGTCTAGGGTCGCTCTTTTTAGAGTCCTAGTGAAACTCTACATCCAAAAGCTTCAAATCCAGAAGCCTGGGCTGAGCGGTCAGCATTCTGGGGTCCGGTAGTCAGAGATTCCGGGCCCTACGGTGAAACTGCGGGCCGAGCTGAGGTTCAGGAAGGTTGAGGCTTGAAATGAGGGCTGAGGGCATCTACGAAGAGGTGGGACTTGAGGGATGTGTGAGGGCCTCCTGGATTTTCAGAACCGGCAGCGGCCTACATCAAGACGGGGAGTGCGGTGTGCGAGACGAAGAGGTGCGCAAGAGGCTTCCAGGGATCCTTGCATCCCAGAGTCCCGACTATTTCCGCCGCCCTCTCTGCGGATGCTTTTTGTGGGATGGCTGGAGGGATTGGTAGTTTAGGTGGGAGCCACGTTTAGGGTTGAGGGGTGTGACGGATGATCGTGAGCTGATATCTGTTTATTTGGACGTGATTTTTTTGACCTCATGGGCAGGCAAACTGCCTGGTCGTTCAGGGCGTGCGAGCCTTGGGCTGGTGCAAACATGAACGCAAACATGCAAGTACCATCAACGCAGCCTTCGTTCGGATGTCCTTGGACCTGGCTGAGGTGGGCGGGCACATTGACATTCACGACGTGAATCCGGCGTGGCTTAGCACGCTAAGATTCTACGACTTGACTCATTCTTGGTCGCCCGCCCGCCCCCTCGACCCTCCCCCCTCCTTCAGTTAGCAGAACCCTTGCCCATTTTGGGTAATAATACCACCAGTCAACCCATTAGACGATTATTCCTATACTCCCCCCTACACCTCACCAACTATATCACTACTACTACCCCATTACCAATAATGCCAATACCAGTATAGGAATAACCGATTACCTCATCCATATAAGAGGATTATTCCTATACTCCCTACTACAATCACCCAAATATCACTACTACTTCCCCATTACCAAGACCAGTATAGGAATAACCAATTACCCCATCCATATTCCCTAAGGTGGTATTATCATCCCGAAATGGGCAAAGGTTCTCTCATAGATTTTACTAGGCTTGGGGTTGAAGCCTTGGAGGACAATAGGCATTGTTCCCGACATGATGCACCGAAGTCTGACCAAGAGCAGATGACCACATGTTTCTGCAGACGCAGGCATGCACTTCATAGAAGCACCGGCAACACACATTGGTCTAATACTTTGAGGCAGGTAGGTGTGTAATTGAAGCGTTTCGCATCCACGCCGTCATGGCAAACCCAACTGGTGATGATGGTTCTCCAAGTTGGACATCAAGGTGGAACAAGGCAGAGAAAGATTATGACGAAGCCGCGCAGGCGCTGGACAACGCCTTCCAAATGGAGAGTGTCAACGAACCATATGTTCAGCATCTCCAGAAGAAAATGCAGAATGCGCAGAAGGTGAAGGAGTTGCTGCTGCAATCGAAGTCCCAGTCATCAGAGGCACAGAACTTGCCAAACATAAGCCTCAAGTATTTCTGGGTTTCCTTTTGCCCGCTTATCCCCACTACTTATTCCCCAAGTAGTCCACGCTAGGAGGTTTGGTCCTTGCTAGGTTCTTTGCTTGGTTAGTTTGGTGGTTCGGGTGCTTAGGGATTTGGGGTGCATTCGTGAAAAATTGTTGCAGTCTTGCTTCCTGCGTGCAAGTGACCTGCAAAGTCAGGACAGTATGATACAGAAGATCGAGAGCCTGCGACTGGACTTGGGCGAGGTCAAGCAGGAAGTTTTGCAGGAAGTGGGCGAGGTCAAGCAGGAAGTTGGCGAGGTCAAGCGGGTCCAGGAGGTCCAAGGAAGAACTTTGCCCATGATAGCAAAGCAACTATATGGCTTCCGTGCTGCCACCCACTCCACCTTCGACCCCGAGTTTGAAAGCAAGTGCCAAACATATTATGGGACAACTTCATGCATGGTTTTGGGTCAAATTTTTCCAGAGTGTCTTCAAGACTGGGGTAAGGATTATTACTTTGGTTCCGATTATTTCCTGCCCGTGGGTGAGCACATCTACAAGAAGAGCATGGAGAAGGAAGGAAAAGACTTGGGCATCGTGACCCGACATCCTCGGAATGGACTGCTTCTGGTAAAAGCATTGGAGTCACAGTTCCAGGATGGTCACATGGTGCTGATTCCAGTGGAGGCAGCAGGCGAGCAGTTGTGCAGTGACGCCGGCACTCTTTCTGATGTATCAGAACCCGAGACGACAGTCACGCTACAAATCCACGTTGCCGCATTTCTGCATGATGAACCTGTCATGTGGTCGGACAAGAAGCAGAAATTGATCGGGCCGGTTCCTTTTGAAAGACCCGTCACAGAGGAGCCGAAGGGGACGGGCAACAACAAAAAGAGCAAGAGCAAGAAGAAAGCCTTGCGGACGCAGCCCATTACGTTTGGTGAGTTGCATCAGCGAAGCATCGTCCTTCGAAAGCCTTTCATGGCAAGCCTTTACATGCAATTAGAGTTTGCTCACGAGACTCATAGTGAACTCCCTGATCCGAAAGATGCCAATGTTCGTGACAATTTCTTTGGCATATGCCAAGATCGCATGCACACCCTCATGCAGGGCTTGTGTCGTGAAGTGGAGCCGAAGCGAGTTCTTCCAGAGGAGGCTGCCTTCGCAGGCGACACGTAGACATGTTCAGACTGGGCGCTGTGATTCTCAATTGGTCCATGTGTGTCCGCGTGTGTTAGAGTTTCACCTGCTGCCAAAGCAATCGGCATGCTCGCGGATGGTAAAACAGCGTCGCTAGTTGCAGTTTTGTATGCTCGAACCCTGCCCCCCTAGGAAAGCCATATACACACACAATCGCAGCGAAGCACAAATGGACGCACAAACAAGTTTGACACATATGGTGTAGGGATTTTTGGGGCTTTTATTGGTCTTAAATATTAAAGAATGTTGATACATATAGAGACACACAAACCACTGAGCAAAAACAAACAAAAAACAAGAAACCAACAAAACAAATAGAAAACAAAATAATAAAATCAAGTTACTAAAAAGAAGCGTTTCACGATCATGATATTATTAACATCAATAATAATATTATGATCATCACAGTTTTTGATCTGCTATATAATCCCATATTGTATGAAAGTCAAAATGTTTTCTCCGTAAGTTTATCTGATATTCCATGTATGCCATAAGTATGGCTTTCAAAACATCTATAACATAACCTTCGTAGCATGTTCTGTATGTTACCGTTTCCTTCATTCTCTCTGTATACTGGAAACTAAAATATCCCATTGTATTCAGAATAAAGTTTCTTTTATAACTGTCAAACATATGAACCGAACCTGTATCATTTATAAACTTCTTCATTAGTAATTTGGTTGCGTGATTATACAAAACCGAACGTTCTATTACTCTCTTAAAATACTCTTTCTTTTTCTTGTTCTCTAACTTTTGGTATGATTTATCAACAAAGTTAAAGATACAATGTATCTGTTTTTCAGCCTTACATAATTTGTTATATTTATCTTGGTTATAAATCTTCTCATACTCTAGTATTTCTGAACAACAATGACAGGAAAGATAAGAGGTAATATTATCAGTAATATTTTCATCAAATATGCACGTCAGCACCTCTCGCTTTCTGTTTCTGTGTTCTTTGCATACTCCACATTCAAAATCAAAACGAAATATTTTCATCATTATATTCTAACATATATAGACAATATTTCTTTAAATGCTTTTCTTAAGAAATTAATTCTAAAGAATATTAAACTTCTAATAACTGCAAGTGTTTGGGTGACTTCGTATGAGAAGCCATATTTCTAACGGATATGTAACAACCACATTCGCATAGTCGTTTTTCCTTGAGATGTTCAGCTATAGTTTGTTTGTTCTCTTCTCTATACATTTTGTCCGCTTCATGTTTGTGATCTTTTGTTCTGTCCCTGTATTCTTTCCTCTGCGCTCGTATGGTTTCATAATTATCCCTATAGTGTTCTTTCTTGCTTCTTCCCATGACTTTTCTGTTTACAC